TTAGGGCAATAATACATTCAACAAAAAAGCACTGACTCACTTTTGTATAATAATACTAGTCAGGATGCAGGACGTATTTCAATTATAAAGCTTTCAATAGGTCCGAGAGAGGATGAACCTAATTTGCAAAGTTAAGATAACACATAGCTAAACAATAAAACAATGGGTTTCCGTCCACTATACAAGATGTTTCTAAGAATATATGAAATAATACCACATTTAACTTACAAGGTTTGGACTAAATTGATTCAATTATTGCGTGAACAAAAAGCACGGTGATACGTTCTGCCTGGGTGTAATTTATTAATAATATGCGTGTAATTTAGCAATTTATAGTATCACTTTAGGTACCATAGTACAGGCTTTGCATACAGACGAATGTGTATGGAACTACATCACCCAATGTAAGGTTATAGCTTATTTTTAAAATGAGGAGATGGTACAACCTTGAGCAAGGGTTAGCGCTCGGGCAAGGGTTATTGGTTATAACCGCTATACGCAGTTTACAGCATGTAACCACCTATACGAAAAGAATTAATTAAATCTGATTGACAATTTCAAAAATAACAGCGTATTAAAAAACCAAATTAACAAGTTAGTTATTGTACTGCTGGCGTTTACGATTAAAGTTTGGTGATTAGTAATTTAGAAAACTTGTTTTTTTCCTCACAGAAATAGGCATTTGTGTTTACTTTTTCTAAAACTACAAGATCAATACATCTGTTAAAAAATATTGCCCACAGAGATGTACAAACACAGATATCCAGTACAAATTGTACGAATATTTGAATTTGCACACAATTGTTACAACGAGTATATAGAACCTATACCTTTGTGTATTTAGTAGCACCATTGGTAGACAGTCTACCGTGAACGATGACTGTTAAATATAAAAAGTTTGAAAAGGTGTGTGTTGAAGTGATAATTAAACAAAACCAACATTACATGGTATAATTACTTTTTAATAGTCATCATTATATTGCCATTAGCAATTTAATAATAATTGCTTTAATTTCTCGTGTAGATATAACTTAGCAAGAGATTAGTCTAAGGCTGATATGATTTATTTGCTAAATGTAAGATTGGGGAAAATTGGTATGAGAAAAGGGTATTTTACGTGCGGATACCCCATTCTAATACTGATGGTATTTCTTTTTAGTCATTTTTAAATTCAATATGGTAATGTAATTTAAATAAATTAATTAAGAAGTGGTCAATTGTTACACCACCTGGCAACTTTTTTAAATTTAACAAAATTTTTATGCTATAGGCGGCAAGTAATAGAAAGTCCCTTTTTTTTGTTGACGGGGTGTAAAATCCATTCGGATCTGTTGCTCCTCGGGGATTCAGGAGCCAGGAGTATGAGGTGATTCCACTAAAAACCACCTGACGGCCGAGCTCAGGTATCCTACTCTGGGAGGACCCGGACCATGTTATTTCAGGTTCTCTCCAAAGCGTCTTAATGCAATCGGGCTATTATATCCTCTACCGCAGCGATCAATCTGCCACTAGAGGTCCCCAATCTCTGGCGGCCTGCGGCCCCGTCGATGGGTGTCGACGTCTCCTCTAAGTTTGGGATCGGCCCTCTCCCGATCCTGTTCAGCGGTCTCTTTCTGAACTGCTGATAAACATCCTTATCTATTTCTAAATACATACATATTATAAATAACGATCCCTCCGGGCTTCGTACAGGTGCAATGTATAAACTACTACTACACTATTAATGTGGTGTCAGTGTGGTGTAATTAATTATACTTTTATTATGATAGGACTATACTACTAACAGGACATTTTTAAATGCAATATTTATAGGCCCGCTCTGATCCGGCAGCTACCACCCGGGACAGACGCTCGACGGTCGTTGGGCCCCCACATTCTAAAACTCTAATATCTTCTAATATTTTATATTTCATTTTAATGATATGCTGTAAAGAGCAGTTTTAATCTACATTAAATGCATAACGCATCTATCTAACGTATTCAATTCAATAAGTAATAATAATGAAGTTTTTAATACAACCCATTATTTTTTTGTAATATTTAAAAGATTAAAATGGTAACTGGGGGGTATTCTTAGGTGACAGACATATACCATCACGGATTTTTTTGTAGATCTTTTTAAGATATACAGTTCCGTAGTACATTATTTTGGTTTATCTCGTAAGGTTAAGCCAGCGTTTGCAATGTCAGCGCACATAAACATATTTTTTTCGATAAATATTTGAAATTCTCGCATTTTTCTCTACTTTAATATGCATGTATTACACATATAAACCTTCCTTTTAAATCACTCTCTCTATTGGTAAAAACCGTATAAACCGTACAACACAAAAAAGCGACTTTATTTTATACCCTGTTAAGATTACACTCAGACACAGATTAAATGATCGTGCTCATCACACAATATTTGTCCTGGCTGGGAATCGAACCCACGGCCACTAACCACTAGACAAACAGGTCCGTGAGTGATTACCATAGGTGTACATGGGTACTTCTTCAACTTCAATGCTACAAGTGCGATGACTCCCTTTTCTTAAAATATTGATTGGGCCTTCATTCTCATCTCGTAATAATCTTATCATCTTATAATCTAATATCTTATATCTTAAAATCTTATCTTCTGTTATGGTTGCAAAAAAGGAGTCGTATGATCATCAACCTTAATATGCTCGTATGTCATTCGCTGACCAAAACCTTCTTTAAAAACCTACTATTCCCCAACTAACAAATGTGTCGTTACTGCCACTGTTATATTATGTTTAAATTGGAGGGGAGTTACTTTCCCACCGCCTTCAAATAACAACTTTGTATCAACAATTTGAAATAAACTACAGAGCCATATTTGCTTAGTAGTAGCTTAATACGGTACGAAAAGTAAAGCTGTATAACCTATCATGATCTTACGAAGTATCTTACAGATAAATTTACATTTACTCAAGGTAACAACACAAACAAATGTAAAAAAAGTGTAGTTCATTAATAAAATAATACTAATTGTTGAAAATCTTACCTAAACATTGGCATTTTTGACAATCCATTCACTTTCAAGCACTTTACATTTTATTCACTGTTTAATGTATAAACTCGTTTGATAAATGCATGTATACGGGCACGCGCGAGGCTACTCTATAATGTCTGACGAACGGACGGCGTACGCGCAGCGCCGATAAAGTGCCGCTCAATTATTGCCCAGTAATCGTTTTTATTAGGATCTTCATATAATTTTTTTTTCGTATGGGTGCATAAATTGTGCATAGAAATATGAGAAATATTATATAATGGTGAAGGCCTTTTTTGTTAAATGTTATTTATTTTTCTCCTGTTATGCCATTATACTTAATATTCATTTTATTAGATAATTATTTGAATGATATTTAGCAATTAAAAATATACCTTTGTTTTCTCAATCATTACAACATATGCATTTGTTTATGTGTTTTGGAATGACTTTATGATACTTGTATGTGGTGATGGTATCAATATTGTGCATTATTCTCTGTAATAACCATAACACTAGGTGGTATACACCATTATTGAGAAACATTATAAAAACTATAAGCAATTTAATACTCGTGCTTAATAGATCTAATGGCAAAGTTAAGAATTGCTTACATGATTTCCACATATCTCTAAGTGTATTATAATAATATATCTAATATTAAGAAACTAGAACTTATTTGAATTTATTAGAAATATAAAGTCTAAAATAAGTCTATATGCCTAAGAAAAAAATGATTTGAATGCCTAAGGAAATAATCTTTCCATTATCAAAAGGTGTTTAAAACTAAGCAGTAAATGTCTCATATTTGTCAATTCCAAACCGCGACGAATCGGTTTGAAACTCTGTACGTAATTTTTTTATTACCTCATTTAAATTTGCCAAAAACTAAACTCTTAACTGTACGATTGCTAAATAATAACTACAGGTTGTCTTATACGCATACAATTATTAAATACACATATTACTTGGGTTCCTCAAAAACGTGTAATCCTCCTTTAAATACACAAATAATAGTGATATTAACAACGCTTTTGCTTTTTCTTCAAATTAAGTTTAAATTTAACCATTTATTATATGTATTACATGAAGCCATGGAAGGAGCCTATGCGATGAATTTTTGTCAAAAGTGACTGTAAATCATTAATTTGATAATACAAATAATGGAAAATCGATACACGTAGAGCCTTTTGTAACTCTATCGATATACAACGTACTTTAAACCTTCAAAAATAATTAACGATGATATATTTTTCTCTGGAACCAACACTAAGTGAGAATAATTTGGTCGGTTTTTGTATCTTACCCATTAATGTACCGTATTTTCGAATAACACACTGCAATGTATATTTATTTACTGTTTCATAAATTATACGTTAAGTCTTTCTGGTGAATGAACACGTGTGTAGTGTAGCAGCATTTTAAGGCCCCGAAGTCATTCAGTAGTTAAGGCATGTGCTCACTGCTCATGCGATAGCAATGTTAATATTAATAATTACACTGTTTAATGAAAGATGCTTTTGGTGACATCATAGTAGATGTAGGGACGTTAGGGGTTAACAAACTTTAAGGCAATTATGAAAATTATAATAAACAATGCATTACTCGCCATATTCGTTTAAGTGTAACATTTAAGAAAGCTTAGTGTTTCTTTTTTAAATTATGAATTTTGAGGTTTTCATAATTTTTAAAGTATTTTAAATGCATGTAGCTATACGCTACTAGCTAGCTTTTAAGTTTCTATCAACACGATAGGTAGAGGGACTATTTTCAATACAAGTCAATTTTTTTATCAATGTTACGATAAAAAATTGTAAGCTTATCGAGAATTCGGGATAAAAGAAAGATTGATTTAACAAATAATGTAAAGGAAATATGGTAAATGAATGGTAAATGAAGCAGATCAATATTATGCCAAATACGCCTTTAAATCGCATTAATTCACGCTAAGGATGTTTTAGAGCATTGATTGATAATTGAATATACAGCATAAATAACTCACACAATAGCAGAATGGTGCCTCTGGTGAAAAGGAACTGAGGGCGTAGACGGAGGTAAAGCGGATAGCGACGCGGGCTGCGGCGAGCCACACCAACGTCCTTCCCGTACATCTGAGGAGCCTGGAACAACAATTTATATATTAGAAAGTAGTTTAATTTATTAGATGGATAACACTGAATAACTAACATGTTGATAGCAGATAATGATGCTAAATGTAAGAGGTTCCCCCCAGAATAAGGTGGAGGTAGGTTTGGACTCCGGTAACTTGACACTCTCGGTAAAAGCAACGAAAGAATTGCCCGACAAAAGAAGGCCAATTCTCGCAATAAAAGTTCGGTCTCAATTCAGTTCCGATCAACTTTCGATCGCGCAAATGTCATAAAAGTTATTTTCTTAGTAAAGTATTAAATAGTCAACGTTACCTGTAATGTGATTATATCGAATGGTAACCGAAAATTAAATCAGTAATCTGCTGGTCTTAGTAATACTTTACTATTTTACTACGAAAATACCTTTCATTACAGTTGTGAGATCGAAAGTTGAACGGAAGTGAATTGTGACCGAACTTTTATTACGAAAATTAGCCTCCAGGTTTCGGTGAGATCGTTTGGGTCGAGTCGACCAATTTGTGCCGAAGCATGGTTCTCCCGCAATTGTTTGTGTCATCGTCCTATGTCCTTTTTATTTATTTATTTAAGAGTTAATGCACTTGTTGCACAAGGGCAGACTTTATGCCATGAGGCATTTTCGCCCAGCAACCTTCAGGTGACGTAAGAATATGATGCGGTAGGTGCAAAAATAAAATATTAAATTTCACATGGTTCAGAAGAAAATGTTTATTAAATAGAAGATAACATTAGATATAACTAATTTACATGAATTCATTGCTACGTATTATATTTATTTACAAGTCCAGCAGTATGTAAGTATTCCTTTTCTGTACCTCTCTTCTGTAATTTTATGATGATTGTTAAGGTAGACGAAAAGGTGCCAAAAACAAACAAAGCAACTTTATAAATTAGTACAATGTAGTTGTGCCAGCCGAAGCTTCTGTCTATGTATCTTTCTAATACTTTCCTTAAAAGACAAGAAGCTTAAATTACTTCTTTTAAAGTCAAAATATTAAAGCTGACTACTGGTGAAAGTATCACGAAGAAGCGGTGCAGCCGTTTTGGAGATTTCTCGAAACAAATAGTCAGACTAACACAAAAAATCAATAAAAATTGTTTTATGCAAACGGTATTATACAAACATTTAAATGTATTTTATGTTGTTATTTTGACATAACAACAGACACGTCAATGTATTTGAAAGATTAAACAAATTTGTATAGATAGAAAACTTTTGATTACACTGTCACGCAAAGCTTATATACTTTTATTTTATATCAACAACAAATAGATAGTCAGAACAGGTCCTACACTTGTGTATCAGATTTTTTTTGTGGGCTGGAGAAAGTAAGTGGCCGAAACCAGTAAGCGTACCGTCTATTTATCGCGAATATACTGGTTTTGAAGTCTATACAAATATTTACAATTTGTCTACTGATTTTCACAATAGCAAAAATGGTTTTGTGTGAAACATAGAATGAGGGTCAGACCGGCTACTGGTGTGGCGATGCGTCGCCACGGCATGCGTCGATTCACTATGTTCAAGAAATAACTTCACTTATAGACCACTAATTATTCTATCTATTCCCCTCTTGCTAAAGCTCCGTGGCCTTATTTATCAGTAGGTACTATGGAAGTCCTTTTCCTTTTTCGACACTTTTTTTAGAATGTAAGTATATATTTAACAGGACACGATAAATCCTAAAATTAACCAAATCACTAAGGCAGCAACAAGCACACGAGAAGCCTGTTGGAATGACTAAATGATAGTTCATAGAGGTTTTGTGCCATCTAAATTGTCATATATAAGTACCGACCGGTCTATTATTTCAGGCAGTAGCTAAGTACTACGACTAAAAGTAATTCAAAATTCCTCAGTACACAAACATACATATTACAGGCTTGTAGAAAACGTTTATTCATTATTTCATTAATTCATTATCAGAACAGCTCCATGGTTTCATATTATTGCATTGTCACTGGAGACATACATATGTAAGATACAAAACATTTGAGAAAGAGCCATCGGGAAGCCACACATACAAACAAACATTATATATTCATACATTAAAGTCCCTTACACAGTAAACCTCCTTTCTAAGGAGAGGCCTATGTCCAGCAGTGGACTAGTATAGGCTGTTGATGATGATGATTGATGATGACATTAAAGTTGAAAAAAAAAGCTTGTTGAAAATACTTACTGCCATAAAGCGTCATATGCGAGGGTGGTCTGCTGGCCAGGACCGGTGTGGAGCCATAGCGCTCACCGCCTGCAGATAGACGCCCACCCAGCGGCTTGAACGCAATCGGACGGATCACTGATTTGCCCTGAAACAAACATAAGGCGCTTGTTACATAATGTTAAGTAAAAACTTTAATTAGCATTTCAAACCATCATTTTTTTTATTTGTTAGAAAGGTTATGATATGTACATTATTTGGCAATAAATTGGTTTCTAGTGTGATTATTAAAAGATTAAATGCTTCATTTTAATCAGATTCGATTCGATTCAATGCTGTCTATCTCTACTTTTGTTTATATTATCAGTTTTTTCGTTGAGAACACACAAAAACATTTCATATATATTTAAAATATTAAAATTTTTGATTCCAACGAATTTTATTGTTAACCAACTTCAAAAAAGAGTAGGTTCTATAATGTACATATAACTCTTCCTCCTTCTTTACCTATCATATTAAAAGTGTTACATGTATTGTAGAATTTTTTACAATGTTCTTTGTTAGTTCTATTTAGAGTCGGTTTTTAAGTGGTTATTAAACACATAAGTCCGCGTGTGCGGTTATCTCATTCGGCACGGATTTGACATTTCGTACGTAACGACGCGACGCAGCGAATCCTGCGCAACTAAATGTCATTTTAATAAAGGTCAATAGTGGTTTACGATTCGGTACATCAATGTGTTACCGTTACCATCATATATTATATGGTAAAAATATAATATATGGAGTCGTGAGTCAGAGAATTGACGTGGAATTAGGTAGAGACGTTATTGAAGTCGTGTCGTTTAGTGTAATGGGTTTCGTAATCTAAGGTGTTTGTATTAAAGTTAATAAACATATAAATGTGATGATAAGCCACACTAATGTAAAATATAAATATTAATTTATAATGCTTTTACGTCTTGCTTCTTAACCAATCATCATTTTGCATATGTGGGAACATCGGGTATTTTTTCACGCAAAAAGGAATGTTTGCGAAGGATAGTAAATTCATTGTCAATGACTAAAGTGAGCGAGGCTGTGGGCAAAAACTAGTTTATCATAACAAAAAACACAGAAGCTCAAAAACACCTAGTTTCTCGCTTCATGATCGATAAATAATTATCGAGAAGGTATCTATCAATGCGATTGAATGTTACCCTTTTTTATTAACTTCGATATCGCTCTACATTCGTCAGTATCAACAGAAAACTCTATAAAAAAATTCAAGTAAATTACCATTTTTATTCATACCTTCACACATCAATCATTAGTTTTACGATTTGGGTCATGTACCCAAGGTTTAGTAGAAAACCATGAATAAAGCGCTTAGTTCATTGTTTTCTCTATACACTACTGAATTAGATTTTTTTATTTACTATCCACAATGAAGAAACACACACAAATCATAATTATCTACGATATAGAATACAGTTCCAGGGATCATATAATTCAGTCTATCACGAAGACTATCAGAGCTAACAATTTTTTATGAAGTACAGTTATCTCATATCTACTACATATAAACTCTGTGCGTTATATAACCTTTAAAAAACAAATAAGTAAATGTTACGAAGGCATTATAACATGATGATGAATTAAAAACATATCCGCTTCACTTTCCTACGGTGTAGGTACTGCGATCAATCTTAGCGTACGTAATTAAATAGTCTCAATCCATCTATTGCTGTACTAGTAAGCGTATATCTGGTTTGCGAACAATACATTCATGTTGCAATCGGCAATTGCGATTTGTATTGAATTCGTTAATTACACTTGCATATTAATTAAAGAAAACTTTCAAAATATAAATACAATCTAATACTCTTTTTTTAAATTTATATACTTTTTATTTGGTAGCAATCTATCTACTTTCAATCTCCTTGCTATATACTTATGTTAATAAAATATATTCTTATTATATTAAGCACAGATCCGTTAAGAGGTTGATTCGATGACGTGGTCGCTCGTTGACTTTGCGCTTAAAGTCCTGATCAGGCTAGACAAATGGTAAAAAAAGTAGCAGAGAAAATGCTTTAATGAAGATTAGAATGTATACCTTCTACTCTTCATTAAGAATGGTTATACCATTAAAAGACATACATACACGCCTTCCATACATTTATATGTTGAGATCCTAGACGGTGTCCATTCTTTGTATCTTTTTCAATTTGAGTACCTACCTCATCTCTGTTTAAAACATCGAGTCACAGTAAACTTAATGTATATTTTTTCTATGATTTATCACTACACTAGCATGTGTTGTATAAGTCTTATAAGAGATACGATATTTTTGAAGTAATTATTTGAGTTAAGTACGTAATGTCAGATTCGTCATCACGTATGACTGACTAGGGATACGTGATGGCATTATTATATTATGAAACGTTTTATCAAATAACCGATTTTTTTATTTTTATTAAGTACATTATTACTATTTATTTATTTATTATAGCTAGTATTACTAAGCAGATACATTTTCCATTGTTTTACAAATACATGCCAAGCAAATAACCTCCACCCTTTTAGAGAGTCGCCTAACACTTTCAACAGAAAAATAAGGTCGCTTATGAGTAATAGTAATGATAATAATAATATTTTCGTACATCTGACACACAACGCCATCTAGTTTCAAACACAACATTGACAATATGATAGTACTTAACCTTGAAATATTTAAAATCCAATATCTTTTTCCTAGACTTTTTTCGGTAGTAATGCGAATACTCGAGAATAAATTCTTAAGTGTTTTGGCCATTTTTGATACTTAAACGCTACCATTTCACTTCAAATAAAATTATGTATGGGGACCTGCCATTGTCCTTTAAGACGAGACCGTTTGTCACAGTACTGACATTGGATATGTGAAGAATATGTATGAAAAGAAAAGATATGAGAGGTGGATGAAACATCTATATATATATTTTTTTTTTTTTTTTTTAAAAGACAACTCCCGCATTAGGAATATATATCCTGTGTCGCGGGGGACTTTACAAACATACATGAAACGGACACAAAGAACACCCAGACTCAGAACAACAATTTGTGGATCACACAAAGTGTCGTCCCATGTGGGGTTTGAACCCACAACACTCGGCGTAGTAGGAAGCGGCGTGGCGACCGCTTAAACCACTCCGCCATCCGTGCAGTCGAATTTTGGTCATGGTTTGACAGAAGCTTGACATGTGTAAGTTTGTGTGTGTAGAGTAGATGTATAGCGCTGTTCCAAAGTAATCCAAATAAGGGCCTTAATTGTTATAATATACGTGAGTTATTTTGACCTTGATGATTATAGACAGTTTTATGGTTAGTGTTTGAAATGATAGAATCTTCAATCTGCAAATGCGTTAGTATTTACTAATATTAATACCAGGGTAATAAACTATCGTCGATAATTAAGTTTCGTTGAAACTTAGGACTAAGTGCCTGCTGATTACCTTGTGTAATCAACCGACTAGAAAGTTATAATCAGAAATCTTACTAATTTTTAATTACTTAGTGTACTTTTATATTTTCCTACCAACCAACATACTGAATTGTAACTGCCACTAATTATAAAACCATATAAATAACCAACTTTAAAGTATCAAAAATATTATTATAAACATTGCAAATATGTATGGTCGATATTAAATAATTAATAAAATCTTCATAACAAGTACCAACAGATCAATCAAGCGGAATGATGACTCGTTGACAAAAAGCAAGATGTCTGCCCAATGACGTCGATTGGAGCAGAGTAGCGGATAAGGAATGTTTGCAACAATAAAAACTGGAACACTTTGAATCGTTGCATGCGAATAAAGACACTCTTTACTTTAGAACGAAGTTGTGTCGATGATGTTTTTTTTTAAAGTCTCTTTTGAAGTCTCTTGGTGCACTTTATAAATGTTTACAAGTGTAAATCCATGTGATGAAGATATAACCACTTCGACGGCCGGCCTTGAGCGCCTTATTCTGGTTAGAGCTCAAATGTGTGATTTCAGATCTCGCCCGAAACAACGCCGCGTCTAACCGATTATTATACATATACCGGGGAAAAATAGCTCCACCAATCGACCCAATAACGATGATCGCACTAAGATGCGCCTACTGCAGCTCCTAATTGGCCACTAGATGTCTCCCCATCCGCAGCCCCGTGGACAGCTGATATCGGCCCTGTCCCGATCCCATTGAGCGACTTCTTTCTGGAGCAATACAGAAAGATACTACTGCATACATAAATAAATATATAATACAATAAAGAAAACTAATATTAGTCTAAAGAACAACACAAGGCACTGAACTGCACGAATGGCGTAGTGGTTTAAGCGGTCACCTCGCTGCTTCCTACTACGCCGAGTGTTGTTGGTTCAAATCACATGGGACGACACTTTGTGTCATCCACAAATTGTTGTTCTGAGCCTGGGTGTTCTTTTTGTCCGTTTCTTGTAGTTTGTAAAGTCCCCGCGACACAGGAATGTATTTCTAATGCGGGAAATGTCTTAAAAAAAACAAGACTGGATGTCGAGCAGCTAAACGACACAGATACATGCAACACAAACATATATCTATTTACATGTATATCTATTTATTCAACAAGCTTCTTGTTTGTATCATGAGAAGCAAAGCGTGGAGAAGGAAAATCGAGTGAAGTTAAATGTATAGAAATGAGGATATTACTGTGTTGTGAGAATAATAAAGTTTAAGGAATACGGCAGTTAAACAGTTACTTTAAAGTAGTTGATGAATAAATCGTGACAAGATAAGGCTTTATTTGAAAGTAAACCTTATTTGGTTACTTATTTTAAACGTAATTTAACTATGACGGCGTGAAAAGGTTTGTTTTCGTATGATTATGACAGAACTATGACAGAGAAGGAAAGAGTAGTATAGTAGAATTGAAAGATATTATTTGCATCCCTGTTATTTTCTTTCCTTCTGTCTATCGAGTTAAACATTTAAATAATTTTTGCTGTTTTTTCTAGCTCATAATAGATACATATTTTACTATAAGTTATTTTAGTAACCTGGTTCGTCTATCTACATACCAATAATATCAATAAAACTGTGGCCCTTACCAACATTTGTCCTACAAAAATACCTGTTTTATGTAAGTCGTAATATGACAGTTGTCCAGAACCGTCTGGTGTTTCTAGGTTAACTGTGACAAGGCCTTGCGAGGCAGACGACTATCCGACGCGGGGACGGGTTTGACGGCATAAATCAGAGGAGATAGCGGCCCACGTCGTAAAACAGTAGCGCATTTAAATTTTACATAGGAGATAGCAGACTCGGTGTCAAACAAGTGGGTAGTAATGCTATAGCTGTAAACTCTCTACATTCTCATTGATCCCCCAGGATGAAACGATTGACTGCACACATGTTATATATAGGTATCCATATATTGTTAATGACATAAAAACTTGTAGTCAATGTTCGTCATCGAAGGATGTATTTTATCTTGGGCATAAAAAGAGATGAAAAGCTATTGGTAAGCGCATCACTTCAAGATGGCTTGACGAATTAAATTAATAATAAATTTTAAGGTACGTTATTTAGCGTTTATATCCGTGTGGACGGATTAAGAATACGGAGTGTCGCCACCCCTGTCAATTCATCCTGTAGGTTTCATAAGAGTCTACTAAGGGAGCAAACTACACAGGACAACAGCACTGCAATCACCATAAGCATCAGGCTATCGCAGTCCACTGCTGAACATAGGCCACTCCGATCGATTTTGCTCCTGCCAGCCATCTTGGCCTGTGGGCGTCCTACACTGCATTTGCCGAGACGCGGTCTCCACTCAAGAACCCGTTCACCCCAACTATTGTCGGTTCTGAGGCTAATAACGCGCTGTAAAGAGAAGGAAAACTTGGAAACAACCCATCTGGTCAGCGTGGTATTGTAGGCCAAAACCTCCTTTCCTAAGGAGAGGCCCATGTCCAGCAGTGGACTATTAAAGGCTGTTGATGTGATGTGATGTAACTTTATTTAGAAAAGACGAATTTGAATGGTTTCCCTAAAGAACAATGGCGGGTCTCCATACAAAAAATATTTGGAATCAAATTGCATCATCTTGTAGTGATTTTTTTTTGTAAATTCGGCTATTATTTTAGAATATATGTATCAAACAATTTTTGTTTGGGAAAGGTAGAAAGATTGTTAGGTAAAAAGATTTTTTTAGTTACGATCCGCATTTTTTTTAACTGTAAACTATTTTTAAAAGAGTCCACAGATAAAAGTCATTTATAATATAGCTG